TAAGCTGATATTGAGTTATAGGAATCTGCAACAGCATCGGGCAAAAGTCAGGATTTCAAATCGGGGTATGTTTGAGGTGAAGTGTAAGTCAATGAAAATCTTTTCTCTTCTGCTTTGGAGTTGGCAGAACTTTCCATTTGCTTCCAAAAGGCCAGAGATAAGGAAGGAGAAGAGTACGGCGTGTTGCAGTGGGAGTGAAGTGTCACCTTCCTGTGGACTTGGCTTGCTGGAGCATCCTCAAATTTAGTAGTGATACCCATTTTAAAATTTTATTTTTTAAACATTTGTCTTGCAAAGGTTATGATCTCATTGTTCTGAAAAAATAAATCCTATCACCTTTTTTATAAAAAGTGAGATTTCTGTGCAGTTCTACCTCGTGTGTCAGAACATGAAATCAGGACTGACGTGCAGTACACATTGATTATACATGGCTGAGTTGATGTACTACTGATGATGATATATTGCTAAGGCAAAGCTTGTGGTAATCCCGATTTAGTGCCTAGAATTACAGAATTGCCTTGGTTGGAAAAGGCCTAAGGACTGGGGGAAGAGGAGGTTAGGAAAAATAAATCCAAAGCTGTGCTAAGTTTAGAAAGTTTGGAAGAATTAACGAGTGTATTTATTGGAAATGCTTTCTTCAAAGTTTCTGTGGAAGTATTTTGAAACATTGGTGAGTTTTGGACTCTGCTGCTGCTGTGCTGTGTGCTTTCACATGGGACGTGTCTCAGGCAAGGGGAGGTGGCAGACAGCGGCGATGTCCTGCTCAAAGCTATGCTTCTGACAGTGCTTTTTGGAAAATAAATGTCCCTGGGTTTTACCCTGTTCTGCCAGGCAACTTTCTGTTGTTTTAGCAATCCAGTGAAAAAAAAAATCACTGCCAAACTTTTGTTTTGATAACTGGCTGCCTTGCTGTGAAGACTGTCTTATTTTTTTAATGCCACAAATACAACAAGAGTCATGCTTTACAAGCACGTGACTCAAAGAAAGAACACCCCACAGCCTCAGCAAAATAGACTTCAGACAAATATTCTTTGATCAGGTTCTCCGGGTCCTGAAGACTCTCAGTGGTGGCCCAAGGAGGGAATTATCCACAAACCCGAGTGGCGTGTCCCGTCCCCGTGGCCTGTGCCCGGTGCTGCTCAAGGCGGCTGGAACAGGCAGGGCCAGGGCAGTGCTGGGCCCTGGGAGAGCTGATGACTCATTCTTCCTGTCACATGAACCCTTAACTGCTTTGCTAATAAGCACTTAGTTGAATTTTAGATGTCTGGACTCATTAAAAAGGCTGGAAGGCATTCGTGTACCTTGTCCATTAGGAGAAAAATCTGTTTTCTATAACTCTGTACCTTCTACAGCCTCCAGCTCAGCTTTAAAAAGTGTCTGCATCTTTTGTGTCGTTACCTGCATCGTGACAGTGGGAAGCTAGAAGAGGTCCAGCTTGCTTTCACCCATGCCAGGCAGCTGTAGGAATATGTATTTCTTTTTACTATTGCAAGAAGAACCTCATAAGAATCCAGTGGTTGGAATTAATATTACACTCAACTGTCAGTGTCTCTCCTGTTTCATCCCTTGTGCTGTTGTCACATGCTGTGCTTTCCTTTCTCCCTCCTTGGTGATTGTACTTTTAGGTTTTCTGTGTCTCCTTTCTCAGAAATATTAGGGTTTTAATTTCTGCCACCCCCTCGCTAGGGGAGCAGGTAACGCAGGGCATGTGGTGTCCAGAGTGTCCCTCGTGTCCCTGAGCCTTTCCTCCTTCATTAATAGTCTGAATCCTGTGCAGGCAGAAGAAAAAAAAGGGGAGAATTATTGAATTTTCATGGGTAGACTGAAAATAAGCATAGTGGAGCTTTTTCTGGGAATTCATAGACTACAGAACTGAGAGAGACTGAATCAACTGGTTTGACCCTCTGCATGTTATGGGATTATCCCTTTGGCTGCCCCTCTCATGCTGTGTGGGGGCTGCTCCTGGATTTCTGCAGCAGTGCTCCCTTTTTAACATTCTTATTTTTTTTAAAGCTTATTTTCATAGGCAATTACTTCACAAGTTGGTTTGCGTTTTCTCCTAATGACTGAACTCCACGTGGTTTATAAAATAAGGCGTTTTTGTTTCTTGGTGAGGGCTCGTGCTGAGTTGACTGGTTTGAAAAAGATGAAGATGCGTTGCTGTGGTAGGAGTTGCTGCAGCTTATCGTGTTAATTACTTAGTGCCCTGAGCCTAATTAAAGCTGCAGCCATGGAGGCAGGTACCTGCCACCTCCGCCTCGGGTACCCCGCGGTCTCACTCCTGGGGTGCAGAAGGGGATTGATTTGGTGTGGGCTGGCGGCTGGCCCGGGGCCAGCGTTTCAGCTGTCTCCTGCTGACAGCCACAGCATCTGTGCTAGGAGCTGCTCCTGCTGTAATACGGATTACGGTTTTCATCCGGATCACTTAATTAATTTCTCCTTCTTTAAGGAAGTGCTTCAGCTTTGTGCCACGTGGGGAGTTCTTACCCAGAAAGCTTGGAGCTCAGCAGCTCTCTTTTTTTATTCCCCCCTCTCCTGTTTGGAAAATGTGGATGGGGAGAGGATGGAGACTCGCTGTTGGAGTAGCAAGGTGACCTTCACATGCCAGTGAAACAGAGTCCAGGGCTGGTTTGGTACAGCTGGAGCAGGTGACAGTGCTGCTGAATTTTTTTCCAGTGCTTCCCACTGTCATTTCTTCCCTTTCCAAGTGGCGTAGGGAGCTGTGACACCACTGGGTGAAAAGCCTTTGGGGACACTGTGCCTGGCCACGGTGCAGTGAACCACCGGCTGGCAGCGACTCTTCTGTGTGTGCTCGTGTTGTGCAGCTCATGAGTCCAGTTACTGGCAGAGAAAATGAGACAATCTTGTCCCAAGCTTGTGGGACTCGGGTGTCTCACAGTTCAGACACGCAGCAGTGGCTGGGACGCAAACATCCGATGAATTGCACTTAAACATCTGAAAAAGTTTTGGCTTTGACTTTCACAGAGGACGTGTATGTAGTCTGATCTTTGATCTTAGGCTGCAAAAGGGATAAAAACCCAAGACACAGAGAAGTTAAGTATAAAACAAAACCTTCATTTAGAAGTGTGGGCTAATTAGTTGTTTTTTGGGTTTTTTTTTCCCCTGATAAGACGTACAAGTAAAATAAGAACATATCCCCACCTTCCTGCTTTAAATGCTTGGGAAGGACTTGAATGGCAATATGTCTCTCCCAAGAAAAGAAAGCAAAATGTCATGGATGGCAGGGACAGGAGGGGGGATAGTTCAAGATGTTAAGGAAGGAGTTCCAGGGTTGCTGCTGTTCCTGTGGTGGTTACAGAAGAGGTTGGGACCTCTCTGCTCAGGCAGGCGGTTGAACCCTAAGGTGCTTTTTTTGAAATGAGTTGTCTTTCTGCATAAAACCTCAGTTTCTTTGTTGATGAGATGATGAGAAATGGAAAGAAGAAGCAGAAAAAAAAAATGAGATGGCAGCTGATTTGTAAATTCCTTTCTGGTGCTTTCTGCTGCGAATGCTCCTGGCCTGGTATTGTCAGCTCCTCTGATCAAAGCCTGCCTTTGCGTACCTGCTTCGTGCAAGTGACACTGTATATGTGATAGAGCCCTGTGGTTATTTATACAGAGCCTGTGGGAAGCACAGTGCACAGAACAAACTGTCTCCTTTGCAGTCATACAGTGTGAAAGGGTGAAGGGAGATGGTGAGATCTGTACTTGTATGTGTTGTTATGTAATGCATCCGTGAAAAAAACCAAACCTTCCTCAGCAAAGCCAGGGGCAGCACTGGAGTCTTGTGTTGGGTATCTCCTGCTGTTTCCTCAACTAAAACAAGTGCAACTGCAGCTCCTGAGCAGTGTGAGCTGAGGAAGTGCCAAGGAAATGGAAAGGCACTGAAAAGATGTGTGCTGTGCTTTGTCAGAGTCCAGGTGTGTGAGGATACAATTGAAAAACACATTGAAACTGAGCTGACATGTTGATCATTTCAACTGGGAGTGCTTCAGAGGGAAGCTGAGCAGCTGCTCGAACGTCCCGGGGTGCTGTAGAACAGGCTTCTGCCAGCAGAATCTGTTGTGTGCAATTAAAACTACAGGGGTGATTTCACAGACCTGGAGGAACCCTGTTCACCTCTCTCGTGTGTGGGTCTCTCCAGCTGCAGAATGAAGAGGAGCCAGGCGAGACTGCGCCAGTGTTGAACGATGCTCCTCCGCCTTACAGCAGCATTTCTGCGGAGAACACAGGTAAACTGAACTGAAAGGAAAGAGCTGGGCTTGCTCTCTTGTTCTTCCTTACCTCCGGAATTGCTCTCCTTATTGACACGTGGCATTGCAGCATCCTTACCAAGGCTGCAAAGGATCAGAATTGATCCAGAGAGACTATTGTTGCTTGTGGTTTAGAAGATGCACTTTGGCTACGTTCATCTGATGTCATCCCATCAGAGTGGTGTTCAAGTTACATTTCACAGTGTTCTTAGTAGATTGAGGACAGTTAAAATCAAAGTGCTGTGAGGATTTGTGGTTCCCCTCTCATTATTTGGCATTTGGGTGATGCTGTGCTCCTTCCAAAAAGGACTTGTTACTTAAAAGGGATTCACTCTTTCTGCATTTTCCAGTAACTAAGGACTTGGTCATAAGGATTCTGCTTCTGAATCATCATGCTGTCACGTTGCTGATAGCTGTTAGCAAAGCAGCTTGTTTTGTGCTGGTTCTCTGTCAGAGTGTTTTGGCTTAGGTAAATCTTTTCATTTTTTTCCCCTCTAGAGCTTTCATAGTCAATTTTTCAAATAAGATTTGTGAATTAAATGCAGTATAACTGCCAGTCTTTCAAACAGCCAGCCAGCTTTGGGTAGAAGTTTGGATATTGTGTTTCTCAAGCTGCCTACTGAGTGTCCTGCCCTGGCACGTGGACTGTGAGGATGTCCCCTTAGCTCTGGTTCCACAGCGTGTCTCAGCGACTGGGGCTCAGAAGTGCTGTGGTTGATTTTTGTTCCAATCCTTTTCCCCTTCATCAGAAAACATGTTGGAGTCTCTCTCTGGAAAAATTGATCACCAGTGGCCCGAGGGTTGCAGTCATCCTTCTTTGACTCACTTGGGATTTGAAAATACAACTGCTTCTGTTTGTTGAAGTCAGGAGAGACACAGCATGCATCATTGTGTTAAAAATAAATACAGCCAGGAGTGGTAAAGCAGCGCTCTGCATATTACTTTGTTTTAGATAAGGTGCTCCCATGTTTTACACTTTGTGTTTGGGATGGTAAGAGGCTGGAGGGGTGGGGAGGGGACAGGAGGGACAGGCTTCAACAGTCAAGGACACTGGGATCTTTTGAAGTCATCTGAAACGTTTCTCAATCCCAACACTGTGTTCTTAAGAAACTAACAAGTTACCTTCTCTCTCTCTCTCTCTCTCTCTCTCTCTCTAAATATATATATTTTTTTTTCCCAGCTTATTTTGACTACAAGGATGAGTCAGGATTTCCTAAGCCTCCATCTTACAACGTGGCCACCACACTGCCTAGTTATGATGAGGCAGAGAGAACCAAGGCTGAAGCCACCATTCCCTTGGTTCCTGGAAGGGTGAGTGCGCTTGGCCGGCTGTATGTCCTTCACATTTCTTCTGTAGAGTTTCTGGTTGAACTCCTGCTGACCAAGTGTCAGCACTTTTGGGGTTTTTTTTTTTTCATAAGCTTTCTGGGGAAGTGACACTACATTCTCTGAAGAGTTCTGTGCCTAATTTTGTTGGATTTTTTTTTGTTTTTAAATTTTCCTCTGGGCAGCTCTGATGATGTAAGGCATCTCAGTAATGCCAGCATGTGCTACCCAGATTACTCTGGCAAGCTGACAGGGGAGCTGTAGTATATCCCTGTGCATTGTCACTGGTGGCTCTTTTTTTTTTTTAAAAAAAGAAGATATAGGATGAATTGTTCAGCCTTCCAGCCTGTCTACCCTCGATATTCCTGCTACTTACTGATATGACTTTTCCAGAGGTCAGTGTAGCTGATAAAAGGATGATAAAACCATTGTCAGAATAATTATTTTTTAAATCTTTTATTTGTTTTTGGTTTTTCAGCATGATCTTTTCTTCAGCCTCTTCCTCCACCCCCGCTAGCATTAGATGTTTACTGCTCATTATACTTCCTCACAGAAGCCAAATTCTTTGCTGAGATGATAAGTTTCATTTTTTGCTGAGTAGGGGAATTCTTCACAGTAAGAACTAAAACATGCCCAATCTTGACTATCTTAAAAAATCAAAATACTACCAGTGACTTAGTATTTCATGCCCTGCATCATCTCAGGATGCAAAGCAGGAATTTTTCCTGCTTGCATTTGGAGCCTTTAGAGATTTGGGATTTCCCCTGCTCCCAGGGGAGACTTTCCTTCAATGTAAGCGAAGCATTTTGTGTCCCTCCATCGTACACTGCTTTTTGAGGGCTGTACAGTTTGCTGACCCTTTCTTGAAGAGCCACATGCAGAACTGGGATTGCTGTACGGACTGGAATGACTTAAATCCACCCACATCTTGTCTCCCTCTGACTTGCAGGATGATGACTTTGTGGCACGGGATGATTTTGATGACACTGACCAGCTGAGGATAGGAAATGATGGCATTTTCATGCTGACTTTCTTCAGTAAGTACCTGCTGGAACTTAGATTTTTTTCAGGTAGTGACTCAAAATAGCTAGAGTTATTTTCACACTTTATGTAACACCAGGAAAAACTTGTGTGCAAGGGTTTTATGAGGTTTTTTTTTTCCCTTGGAATATAAAGAGGGCTTGACCTGCTGCTTTCTGCTTTCTCAGTGGCATTCCTCTTCAACTGGATTGGATTTTTCCTGTGTTTCTGTCTGACTACTTCAGCTGCAGGACGATATGGGGCCATTTCTGGGTTTGGTCTGTCTCTTATTAAGTGGATCCTTATTGTCAGGGTAAGTTGTGTAATGCAAAAACACATATGTAGACACTGGTACCCTTTCCCTAGCTCGTTTTTATCTCATTTATACTGAAGTTAGTTACAGGTTTAGCTTTTTATAACAAAGTAGATTTTGAGCCCCTTGTTCACTGAGAACAAAGCTCTTTCATCTCTTCTGTTTATATGCTGGAATTATTATTGTAATAAAAGAGAATCAAGGTTGCACACCCAAGTGTGGCACTCTCTGACAGAGCCACTGTACTGGAGCAAAATGTGTTTGTGTGTTGAGCACTAACAATGATCTGGTCTTTGTAAAACATTTATTTGGATAAAGCCAGCCCTGCTGTCAGCGTGGGGATGTTTCTCTCCAGTATGATGTGCCTTAAGTGCTCCTCTGAAAAAAAAACCCCAAAACCTCTAAAACATGGGCTAACTGTGAGCGTGACTGGTGAGGAGAAGGAAATAGGGACTGGAAAACTAGGAGGGGTGAGGTTTGGTTTTCAGTGGAGAAAGAGGCAGCCACCCTTTGTCCCAGGGATGGGAGAAGCCCGCTGGTGCCCTCTGGTGTGATGTGCCTGCGGCACAAGCAGCAGGAGATCAGGAGGAAGCACTGTTTCCTGGTTTGTTTAATTTCTGTGTAAATTCTGGGCATATCCAGGCCGTTAAAACATCCCCTGGGTGCCCCAGCTGGGCACAGACCTCTACCTGCAGAAGCAAGTAAGGCTGATGTAGTGTTTTTAAAACTTGGAAGGGAAGAAAGAGAAAACTTTTTTGGGGAAAAAAAAAAGAAAAAAGAAAAAAAAAAGGATATAGATGTGCTGATGCTGGAAGGAACAACAACAGCAAAAAAGTCAGAGTATTTGACTATGAGAAAATAGCAGAAAAGCATTATTTGGAGCCCATGAAAAGAAGGTGTCTGTGAAAATGGCATGCAGACATCACAGGCCAAGTTTGGAATTTCAGACAAAAAATCTCATTAGCTGTGCTTAAGGAGAAGTGTTAGGGCTGTCACTTCATAACCTGGTTTCTTTGGGCTAGAAGTTGTAATTTGTAAATACAGCACCTGTTAACTTTTTTCTGTAGAAAGTTAAGATTTTGGGGGTCATCTTGTAACAGTGGGTGCTAAGAACTATTTGCTGGATTAAAAGGTGTGACAGAAGCAGGTGACCTTAACTGTGGATTTGATTTAAACTCTGATAACAAGCTTACCTTTTGTTAGGTTTTTAAACTTGAATAGAATGAAAACAAAAAAATTGTCCTGTGTTTACCACTGACACAGTGAACTTCAGTGCTCTGATAGTGCTGGTGCCTTTCATTCAATGACAGTAATCTTCCCAATAGGAAATATTGTCAGAGGGTTCCACAGACCTGGGATTTCTTTGCCAGCTGGACTCGTGTTTGCTGCACTGTCCAGCCTCACAGTGTAGTTAGTGTGTGATCTGCTGCTGGAAACCTGGTCTTCCCTCTCAGAAACTGCAACTATGGTTTATAAGCATCAAAGAACATCAGGGAAAATCAGAGTATTTGCTCAGTAGTGTCTTTCTGCTCCACTGATTGCAAGAGTTTATGGCTGGGTGTTGGATCTGCTCCTTTCCCCTTGGTTAGAGCTGGTCTGATGTGTGTAGAAAAACCTCAAACGAAAGTTTGTGGAGGCAGCTCGTTCCCTGCAGTGTGTGCAGTTGATGAAATGGATGCACTGGGCTTGATCTGGTTACTGCTGAAATTAATGAGAATAGATTTGGGTTCAGAAACTGCCATGTGCTCTAACTGGTATCTTTTTTTAAAATTTTTAGTTCTCCACCTATTTTCCTGGTTACTTCGATGGTCAGTATTGGCTTTGGTGGGTCTTCCTCGTACTAGGTGAGTGTTTGTTCAGGGGGGAAGAGGGAATGTATGCTTACAACTCCCCAAAGTACAACCAGGGCTTTTGTGAGCGTGGCTTTACTGGCTATTGAAATACATGTATATCAATGTAACACTGAAATGTAACCTCAGAGCACTGCTCCTCTTACTGAATGCCTTCTCAGTTTTAAAGCTGCACAGAAACACTGTCCTTTTGGTGTCATTTCGTGGTGGCAGCATCCTGTTTATCATCCAGAAGGAGTAGAGGAGAGAACGATGCTTGTCTTTGTAGTCACTGATGTTGTACCTGGTGTTAGATCTGAAATGGAAGAGGGGCTTGTGGTCCTTCTTTCCTTTTTTTTCTTTTTTTTTCTTTTTTCTCCCCTCCTTTGGAAGTGACTGGATCTCATTTGGAGTCAAAAGTTTTGTGATTGCCTGAGGAAAGTTTGTTTTTGAGATTGCCTGAAATTGAGAGATGAGATGACATTGATACAAAAACAATCACTGTATTTCATCACCTATTGTGCATCCCAGTGACTCGGGTCCCTCCGTAGCAGTAACAGTGCACTGAACTGTTCCTTTGCTAATTGAAGAAGCAAAACCTGTGTTAACTGGACAAATGTGTTTCTCCCATCTAGGTTTTCTGCTGTTTCTCAGAGGATTTATTAATTATGCAAAGGTTAGGAAGATGCCAGATACTTTCTCCACTCTCCCCAGAACCAGAGTTCTCTTTATTTACTAAAGGTAAATTTTCTGCTTTCCTGAATTCATGTTTTGTTTTTAACTCTATTTATAGTCACTCTTTTAGGCTAGACTTCTCTTTGCTTGAATACTTTTAGAACACAAGGCAGCAGAAAATGGTTGTTTCTTGGTATCCCGTACGCAGCTCCTGTTTCTGCAGAGTCCAGACTGACTTGCTGAGGAGCAGAGAAATACCTGTTTCTTTCTTCCCGAGTTTTTGCTTTGAGGAATTATATATTCATGAGATTCCATGACTTGGGTTGTAAAGAACAAAATCTCTGCCCATTGGTATTGCCCTGTATTTGGCAAGTGTGTCTTTCAGAATAAATCACATGCCTGAAACTCATGCCCTAGACACGAGTAAAGGTCACAAAATGTTGTTAGAAGATTGTGCCAGTGTCTTTGGCTTCTGTCCCAGAAAGAACAATTTGTCTGAATTTTGCACACTGTTTGAATTTTCTGCCAAGTTCCTGCAGAAATTAAAACTCTTGCACACCTTTGACAACCCCTGCCACATCTTTGAACAGACTGTCCTGCCTGGACATCTTTCCAAAACCTTAATGCCTAAAAGTCTTGCGCTTTAAGGCTGAACCTTAATGTTGCTGCCTTCTTAATGGGACTTTAAAGCAGGAGGCTTAAGGAGCTGAACCCTTGTAGCATAATTTCCTGCTTACAGCAGATAATGGCCTTGCATTAACTGTCCCTCCCTGAGGGGAAGGAAATCCTGTAATAGGTTGCTTCCCAGATGGCGAGTGCAACATGATGCTCCCTTTAGAAATATCACAATAGCACTCGATTTCCCCAGGACAGGGTTGAAGCAATTGCAGCTGGGACAGTGGTATAAAGAAACCAAACAAACTCTGGCTTTAAATTGGGGGTCATTAACTTGTTCAGATTTTAAAACCGAGGCTTGATTTTTCCAAATGCACTTTCCTTTTATTAGAAACTATGAATTGCGTAAGGTTCTGCCTCGTTCCTACTCTGCAAGGAGAACACGCCACACAGAACGGGCATTGTGCTCTGTTTTCCAGCTTGAATTTTCCACTGATGATAGTGTGTAAAAATAGTTCAGTCAATTTATTTAAGTGTTTCAGTTCTATTTAACACAGTTATGGTTTATGACCTCCTCCAGGATTTGTAATATCCTCTCGAATT